TTGAGATAAGCAGGTAAAAAAATAGCATAAAAAAGGACTTTTCGAGACCAAACCAAAACACTCGACATATGTGGGTTGTTGAGATAACCGAGGTCAAGATAAGTGGGTTTGACTGTATAATTTGAGACCAGATTTTCTTTAGTCAAAATATTATTTGTTCCAGGACCAGAGTTCGTACCAAACTTCACATGTACAAACAACCCTTTACAGATCTTAATATATCAATGGAATTAGTGGTAAAAGCAGAATTCTGACAATGTTCAACTATTTCATGTAGAAATATAGCCAGAATAAAATAAAGCTAAGTTATGATATCAGCACTACTACCCAAAGTTCATTTACAAAATGGAGTAGAACAAAATCTGATAAACCATGACTGCAGACATGTTTATTTTACAAGCATCATTCCATATCTTCAAAATACATGGAGAAATTTATAGTGAAACCCCACTGTAACATGTTACTTGGGATCCATAACTAATGCATGGTATAGCAAGAATGATTTAAAGTCCTATTAATGTGTGACCAAGTGCATGGGGAGGGATGGGAGGGAAAAAAATGAGTGTCAAACATACAGCAATAATTTTACTACCTGCCAATTTAAAAAACTATTGGAACTAAGATAGCTCTATGTTCAACTACAGTTAATCACCAATGTGTAGGAATATTAATCATGATTTGCAATGAAACTTAACTAATGTATGTTTTTATCTATATCACTGCTGTTCTCAGTAGTGTCATGGAATCAGGGGCATCTATGACAAAAATGCATCTGGCCATAATGTAATACGTGTTATACATGAACTCATGATATCATACCTGATAGCGGGCTTCCCCAGTAGTTTGCATCAAAATATTGTTTCTATCATCTGAAGTACCATAATGTTTGACCATTATACCCAGCCACCAAACTGGCCTAATGAAAAGTTGTATGATAAATGTGTGGGTGATTTTGATGCACAACAATAGATTTACTTTTCTATTCTGCCTTAATTAATGTGGGAAATTTCTTTAAAACATTTTTGAAAAAAAGTTGTTTTGAATGTCCAATTTTAGGAAACTGAAGCTTGTTATCACTAATCCTCCATGCTGTTTTGAATCGTAACATTTTTTAAATGTAGTAGTTTTTTATTCCAATTACTTATGAATAGTCTGTTCTAGAAATATGAGACTTTATGAAAATTTGGTTAAAGTTTTCCTGATCAACTTTTGTAACATAATCATTTGAATTGAACTTAAGTATTCTGCACTGTTTGTATATGCCTTCTTATACTGTATCATCAATCTGTAATTGGTAGTGTTAGATTTTATTCTATGTGGTTATGACTGAACCTTTCAAGTCCTTTTATGGATGGTGCAAAATAACTTTGATTCAAAAGATATATAATCTTTGATGGAATTAATAGAACCTGAATTTAGTTCTGCACAAATGATTCATAAAAAGATTCAAATTCCATAAACACAGAATACAAATTAATGAATGGAACAGTAATAAAGCCACTGAACAGCTTAGTATGAAGTAAATGCTGACAACTGTCAGGATGGTCACTTTTTGTTGTAACCAGGCCAAGATACCAGTAGCCTCAGTTTGATAAACACCTTGTTATAATTTCAAAGTAATAGAAAGAAATACAGTCCTGACAGATTTGAAGATGTTCATTTAAAGGAATGGAATGACCAATATTCTGTCCATATTTGTACTTGAACATCCCTCACTCTCTGTGGAGAGTGTTCTGATTTGTTGTGTAATGTGATTTATATCCCAAGTTATGAAATAAAGTGACAACACTTAATTCCCTGTCTTACAGGTACATAGCAGCACACATCACCTTTGTTTACATAGCACCTATTTAGACCAACACAAACATTTAATATTTGTAGTGATCAATATTTGGCACATTTTGTGTTGCTAAAAGGTTGAAATTAAAAATTTGGTGCTCAAACTGAATGCTGTAATATTATCATTTACATCTTTTTAATCAAAACTTCCAAATTATGAATGTTCATAATGACAGTTCACTTCTACTTACCAGCAATCAAATCCAGAATGAAGACTGTTCTCATCCAGTAGATTGTATTTCTAATTCATATTTTAATCTAACTTGAGGCATATCCTTGGCATTTTGAAAAAAATTCACATACCTATACTTTTCCAAGATCTGAAACAACCAAAGACAATACAATTACACCGAATTAGATGAGTTAGTGAGTTAATAAGATGTTATATGAAAACTCAGGTATGGCTCTCAATCACTCTAAGCTGACAAGAGTGCTACATTATAAGCCTTTCCAGTAGAGCAATGATGCATACAGTTCTTTCAGTGTGCTCTTTTGAATTCTGTCTATGAATGATATAGGCACAAATTCACCTCTAACAATATAAACTATTCAAACCAGTTTCTTTGAGTATTTTATTTATCTTTTACCAGCGTGTTTTGAATAAATCCTGCTTTAATTTCAGGCAAGTAAACACAATCACAGTGACGTTTATCTACCTACATCAAGTCAAAATATTTAATCACTGCAATTTTCTCTCCAAACAACATATACCTGTACAAATTTCTCCATAGACAAAAAAATGCACCTATGGTATGATTACTTTAAAGCAGTCCCAAGAACTGATTAAAGGCACCTCATTTCAACCTTTCAACCTTTTGCCTGAACTCAAAGTCTCCCTAAACTGTATGGATGAACAATATGTCTACTTCAGTGACAAAAAACAATACTCTCATATTGTGTTAAGCAAATTTTACATGTTTAAAGTAATTATGATAAAAGGTAGGTAAATAAATAATTACATGCTTGCACCAATTAATATTCTCTATGACAATCTAATCACATTCAAAAAATTGTTCCTGGCCTACAGACACTTAAGGATGGCTTTCCAATGTTCAAGTTTTACTTTTTTAAAACATACAAAATATGTAATAAAATCTCAATATTCATCATTTAGTATTTGCCTCTTAAAAACAAAACTCTTAACAGCTTAATATGAAAATACAATGAAATGTTTTTTATATTTTAAAAACTTCATTTCGTCTAAACATTATGTTTCAGACAAAATTTATTCCATTGATAACGATTTTGTTCCCATCAACTGTTAAGATCCAAACTCACATGTCAACTGTAAATGGGACAAACCCAGATGGCAGATCTGGCTTTGTACAGTAAGGAGTACAGACCCTGATCTGTACCATTATGCTACAACATATTAGTATCATTGATGTTTGCAATTTGGCCCGACTTACAAACAGAACCTGTGGTACATTTTAAAATAACAATTTTAAAGTAGATACTAGTAAAGGTTTACAGTAAGTCAAAGTAGCTAGCTTATATTTGTTGCATTAGACTCCAAATTGTTGTTGCATTTGTAAATTTGTCTATGCTTATAATTATATTATATGTACAGGGTCCATATTGTGCCTAACAGCATATAAAAACAATCTGAATCAGAGATAATCAATGGCATCTCCTGGAGAGTTCTCACTTACTTTGTGGAGTAGACAAAAGAAAACAATATATATATATATATATATATATATATATATATATATATATATATATATATATATATATATATATATATATATATATATATATAATGTAAAGAATTGCAAATATCAGACTATCTTAATCATCTCCTTCATCATCTTTTTCACAAAGATGAGTGAATTTTCCTCATTCTCTTTATACAATTTGTTTCAACAAAACAACCTTTAACATCAAAAAATGTGTGTGGAACATAACAATATCTACAGCACCTATGACAGTAATTCAATGAGACTAATCAAGCAAACCACCATACAAACTCTTAGTCTACCTATCCTTTTAGGCAATAATACACAGTCAAATGGCTCTCCACCTAAGTTTAGAATTTCTTTTGCTAAGAGTAGGATGGACTGTCATGTCATTCAATATACAGAAACTTTCAAAATTAAACTAACAAATTTACAACATAATAAATCTCAGGTAGTTGTCATCTTAATATATTTCTAACCTAGTTAGAGATCTCTTGTAAATATAATTTGTCTTCATAGTAATAATTGGTTGTATTAAAATTCAGATTTTTTTCAGTTGTCAAGGACAGTGTTAGCAGACAACATTTGTCCTGAAAATCAACCATTGCAAAAAATAGTGACAGTTACTGATATTATTAATTTCAATAGTGGACACAGTCTTTTGGCTCTTAAATAGACTTTAGGTATTATATTCAAAATTTACAAGGACTGTTTAAACATTTTTTGTTAAAAATTCTGACACAGAAAGTTCAATAAAAAATGTGTTGGTCTTAGACAGATCTTATAAAGTTATGAATTTTATGTTCATTACAAGTGATACAGTGTGCCATAACATGGATCTGGTATTAGAAAGATTAAATAATGTACATGTTCTAATAAAAAATGTCACCTACATCTGTCCTGACTTAGAATGAAATGATGCAATATAATAGGTCTAGAGGTACTTGGAATAAAATCAGCCATACTCATATGCAGCACCTGAAGCTTTGAGAATAAATGGATATTGGACATGATGATTATGATCTGTGTATTATATGTCAAAACTAAGCCTCTTACATGTCAAACTATATCTTTATATGCTTCTGATTACAGTTAGCTGATAATACAATTTTTTTGTTTTCAAGGATACATGAGCTGGTTTGTTTATTTTTTCCAACTGCACATGCTGCAAACATACATCCAGAAATAATTACATTTGGTCCAAGTCAGGACAAAAGTTGGTAAATTTCTTTTATGATCTTAAAATTCAGTGTACTGTACTTAATTTCACAAGTGTGTGTGTGTCTGTGTGTGTTGGTGTGTGAGTATGTAATTTAGATGTTTAATATAGCTTTAACAATATTTCAGCCATATCACTACAATATCTGCAGTGAGGCAGTTTATAGACATGTCTAGCACTGGATCATCATGCTGCAGACATGTAGCATGATGCTGAGTGACAAAAGAGGCAGCTGTTAGTACCATTTTTGTAAGTCTTTGGTATGACTCTGCCGGGGATCGAACCCACGGCCTCCCACATACGAGGCAGACTATCTAACCACTAGGCCACCGAAGCAGTTCCACAAAGATCATTAACATTTGATGGTGTAATGAAAGGTGGCTCATTTTCTATCGATTTCATTTATAATCAATTTATCTATAATAAACTAAAAATATGTAAACAGTCTCTTAAACATCGATTACATATAATGGATACTATATTCAATACATAACAAAGAAGTGCAGAAAATAGTATATTCCTCATCTTTCATGAATTATATATTATATAAGTGTCCCTATATGTACTGACTGAGCACAAATACATCTTTCTAACGTATAATAATAATAATAATAATAATAATAATAATAATAATAATAATAATAATAATAATAATAATAAGTAGAATGCAATAGCTGCTTGACTTGAAAACTTGTTGTGAACTATCATACCTTTAGACTCTATCATTTGTGATACTTAAATACATGTACTAGCAATTGTGCTCTTTCTCTCTCCAAGTAAATGCATTACCTAAAAAAGACAATAGCATATTCTTTGTCTCTCCTTCTCTACTAAGACATTTCTTCCATTTACCAAGCTTTCAAAACTTTTGTCATAAATTTAATTTTAAGTTTATATTAGAAAAACAACAAAACTAAAACTCAATAGCTACCCCTTTCCACTCTTCCAGAGTCATACCTAAATAAATATTCCTATATCTTAATGCACAAATAAATTCTGTTATTTGTCAAATTTCAGATATACCTTGCAGAAAATATAAACAGAGGCCTCCATTTACTACTTCACTAAGCCAATCTTCAAGCCATCATTCTGTCTAACATTTAAAGATATGAAATTCATTTCATGACTATGCATAACAAATTTATATTGAGTACAATGCCACACAAATTTTTACATACTTCCTTAAAACTGCTTGCAGAAAGGCTTTACTACCAACATTTTATTTGTTAGTAATATAGCTTCCCAAGCGGCATTAGTTTTCACCTTATGCAAGGCTGAGCTGTATGCATATTCAACTGATATGTCCAATTGTTTGCGATATTTTTAAAATACTAATTTAATCTTCATCATTATTATGAAGGTACTTGCAATAAACTCCCATGCCAAAAACTGACTGACTTTCATTCTACTATAAGCACTGGCAATTTATACCATATTTATTTTCAGCCCAAAGAATGTTTCTAGCTGGCTGACCATCCTTGCTTTCCTGTGCTGACCTGAGCATTCTTTCTCTGGGGTAAAAAAACAATATTTTTTAAATTCAAAGAATTTCAACAAAAAAAATTCTGAAATTAATTTGTGCATCCAATTGTGCCAGTTTAGCCCAGTACTTCAAATGCTAAGTACATTAAATATACTTATCATTATAATATGTATGATAGGGCATAACTGACTTTTGATCCGGAAATCGGATTCCACCGGATAGTATGAACTTCCAATTAATCAGAGTCAGACAAGGCAGGAACGACCAAAACAAGAATACAATTCAGATAATAAAAATAATAAAGTTGAATTTCTATAGCACTGTGTCTAACAATGCGTGTGATTTGATAGTGCATTAATAAAGTTAAATAAGTCAGAAAAGTCCAATATGGTCAACACAACGGGGTGAAATAATAATACTTGAATTAGACCAAAAGATTTAAATTTATTAAAATATTTTAATGCCCATGGGCATGACGCACGCAGTTCAATAAATAAAGAAATTTAATAATCAAAATTTATAACTTCCAAGTTCTTTGCAAGAAATAGTAGCATCTCCATTTTTTCAGCAGACATGTCAAACTTTTGTCACTGCACATAGCACCTGCAGTGCTAAAACTTCTTTCACTATCAACACTAGACGGCCGTATTAAAAAAAATTAGCAACAGATGCCAGAAGCTGGAATGCTTTTTTCTCAGGATTTCCAGTGCTAGATACGAGTCCAATTTGTGCTGGCACATGAATTCAGATGACAGAGATGCAGAGGTGAGATTCTGGTTTGATGTGCTAGAGGCAAATAACTCCTGGTAGTAGTCATTTCCAATTAATCGAATCGTATCTGGAATTGGAAAAATTTCATGCCTGAAATCTGGAAGCAGTAAAAAAGATGCTAATTGGTTTTGCCCTAATGTATAATATTAGAAAAGTCTTAATGTTTTTGAAAAAATATATTTCATACCATAACTTTAAAACTGGTGTAATAGGAAACACACATTGGAGGGGACTCAGCAGAAAAGGTGATTTATGTCTTTTAATATTCAAACCGTATGTCACTTTGAGGTTTTTGTTTGGGTCTAGTTCCTCTAAAAATCTAACATATCTAAAAGATAAGACGAATGAGTGAGCACTATCCACTGATTTTTTTTTTACCTACAAGCTAGGTCCACAGAAAGACCAAAACACTGTTCTCCATCAATTTTAATGATTTTTTACATTAATGTCTGTGGTAGAGATAAGCATGTAATTTGCAGTTCAAATGGTTATTAGTCCACCTGCACGTATTACCAGCTTGCAAGGTACTGTTGGATGCTTATGTCAGAGAGAAGCTGCTAATTAAATGTGGATATTATAAAAGACTTGATACAATAGATGGACAGAAGAGGGATATAACTTGCCATCTCAGTAAAAAGATTAATCAAAATATTTTATTGTATTACATTGAATGGACCCAAAATCAGATTTCCTACACAGCAAACTGATCACAATTAAATTTACTGTTGCTGACCTGTTTTCTACCATGACCACTAATGTCAGATAAAACTGAATTGTGTTTGTATGTGTGAGAAATGTTTGACTGCAAGTCCATACCTCACTGACTGCAGATCAAAGAGTCCAAGTCCCCAAAACTCAAAACTAATTTTCGTTCAAACTGTTATCAAGAAATAAACATCAAATTTTGGTCATCTATTTATTCACACAATCATGTAAATTTCCCTTGCATGCAGTTGTGACTGTTTATAAATTGTGCTAAAAATGCTTTTGTTCCTGAGAAAGTTCCATGGCCTGAAAATCTAATCACATCATCTACATTCAAAATCAAATGTGCCAAATAAGTTGAATTTGTTTAACAAGTATTTGCTTAATGGTATGAACAGATTATTATGAAAATCTTTTGAAGCCCATATATTCATAAAAGTCATCTAACTGATTTAGACATTCATGTAAATACATAAATACCAACTAAATTTCACATGAATTATAAATTGTGTAAACAAGATATCTGACAGAACAAAAAAATAAATAATTCCAACAAACTATAAAAATGGCCTGTAAATCTAATGAGGCTGATACTATTGGTCATAAATTTAATGTTCAGGTCATGTACTCATGACAATGATAGCATAAAATGTAATTGCTCTAAGTCTAACATGCTAAAATGATTTTTATGTATATTAGCGGAGAGACAGCAGAAAACAATATGCCTGTTATTGCAATAGAGGGAAAAAAAATAGGAGGAAAACAATCTGAACATCTGTGTCCATGCCCAAATCAGTCATCTCGCACCCTGCATCGTCACACCAAGTTGCACGCGAGTGAAATTATGTCTTACCCAAAAATATAGTCAAGTCGCACCCATCTGTAATATATCATTATACGAAATAATCGTTACCATGTCATGTTTCCAGAGCATTAACCTTTATTCATTAAATGTATTAATTCACTAATTTTTGTTATATGATTAATGAGGCCAAAATAGATCACATTTCAAACTCCAATAATTACATTATGTTTCTGCATTTAGTTCAGTTACTCTAACATTAGTACATGCAGAGTCATGAAACTTCTTTTTAAATGTTTAATCAGCATATAGCTTGATTATTGAATTAATAATGTCCCATAGTTTCTCAATTTCAAGTTTTATTTCATACCGACTGAGCAAGATTTTTCTTTGCACATGGCTTATCTTTAGGATTTATGGCTATCAAGCTTTATCAAATTCTGTTAAATGTTATGATGCAACGGAACAGGTCTTTTGATACAGCCTCAGCATCCAGTGTTGTGGCTTTGTTGGTTTCATTCCAGTTTGATGAAGGGTTTGTATGTATTACTGAAGTGTGTTAACTTTGCTATGGTCCAAGTATATAAAAGCAAGCAATCCAAAACAAAGTTTGCTCAAATCAGCATATGTGCTAATATGTTGGCAATATCAAAGTCATTACATAACAAAATAAATCAGCATATGTGCTAATATGGTGGCAATATCAAAGTCATTACAAAACAAAACAGGGTACTGAACTGGCAGTTTGTCAACATAAACCATTAGGAAACAAATGATTTCTTCAAGTTGGTCTCTAGGGCAGCTGTCAATGTTTACATTACATTTTTTACATTCAATTGATTAGTTTCATGTTTGAATAGTAAAAAAGACACTACAATTAGGTATAAAATGTTTAATTTTTACTCCACCCCAATCATTAATTTCCAAAATGGCTAGTAATACTGTATGCTTACACTGTGAAACACAAGTTACCAAGAGACAACATGCAATCCAATGTGATAGCTGCAGTAAGTGGCAACAAAGAACTTTGCTATTGGGCTCTTATTAGCAGACTACAGATTGGATGTAAGGGGACAACTCAGTTTACACTGGAATGCCATAATTTAAATTCTGTAGATTTGAATGCATCTGAAATTTGTGAACCCCTTTTCGCAAGTAAAAGACAGAACAATCATATGTAAAATGACAAGAGGCCATATGATAAATCTTCTACTATCGCGATTAATACTGATCTACTTTTAAACAGCATTGATCCTGTTGTTGATGTTGAACATGAGCAACCAATTGATAATGAGGAGGATGAAGCCTCATATTTAGATACAAGACTGACCATAGTAGCCTCAAATTTGGATGCTATTGCCAATGATACAGTAATTTATGAAATTAATAATCAATCATCAGAAAGAATGAAAGATAAGTTAGTCAACAGCAACGGCTTTTCCTACAATGTTAAGCTCCAAAATGCCTCTGCTACATACTGGGAGTGAGAAACAAGCACACCAAGAGTAAAGCTACAGTTATAGATAGAGATGCTGGTAATTTTTTTACCAGGAACTTACAGACCTTGTCA